GAGGCCGTTAGGATGGTCTATTCAAGCGTTTCTTTTACTTTGACACAGTGGTTAGGCTCCCCCCATCAAAATGCGTAACATATGTCTAAGTCACCGAAATCGGTGTTTTCACGTAAATTCACTTATTAAATGAAGTTACCTTAAAAACCTTCTGAGCGATTGGTAGGTAACCTTAAATCCATCTGTTTAAGATCTAGTTACAATACCAATTCCAACCAGTTTACCTACGTCAGTACGTTATAGGTGATTTTGATAGCCATAGAAGCAAAAGGTGAATGTAGACTACTGATACTTGGTCACAACCAATAAAAGTAATACAAATGATAAGATAGTCACTCATGTGTTCATGCCTTCATCAGGTGATCGCAAAATGATCTTTGAAGTCTAGAGTTGATTGTCAGAAGAAGAACACTCATCAAAACTGCCTTGACTGTTCTACATACTTCTGGTCGCTAGAAATTAGTTATCATTTATGAAAGCTTCGGAAGATGCTTCCTATTATTGGACATGTCAACTAGTTATCGTCGACCATCTAAACGACTCTACTCTGAAACTAAATTCTTGATCTATGCATTCGATTTCTCATCTAGCGCTGATATTTTTTGAGTGTATTTGGTTGGAGAGGTCGGTCAGTTAGTGTTTGAACTTATCCTTTCATGGAGTCAGTCAACACCTAAATTCTTCAAATAAGCCTAGAATCCCTCGGAAATCTTCACAACCAAAGATTGTATACTGAACATTTGCGAAAGACCATGTGTTCATGCGTGCTAGTTTTTGAGTGGATAATTGGACGAAATCGATAGTTAATATCCTTCTAGAAAATTGTAGAAAATATCAAGGCGGCTGAAAATATGTGAGCTGTTACATTTTGCTCACATTTTGACTTGACAGTAAACCTTTGATCTTTCCTAGAATTCTTTCTCTGTACAAATTTAAAGATAACAAGAGCAACAGCTTTAGCAGAATAGCAGGAATCAACTTTATTTTTGGGTTTCTCTTGAACTGCTTACAATCTAAAACAATTTATACATCTATTTATACAAATGTTTGGATACTTGAGTCAATTTGACAGCAAATTATCAGCTTGAAATAAAGATGACATTGAGATGACGTAATTGGAGATACATAAATTAAGTGAATAAATATTCAAGGACTATTAGTTAATTTGTCAATGTATGGAAGGATTAGACGGACTTTCTATAGCAGAAGTTGGACAAGCAGGGAGGAGACAAATGTATTTCATATATAGAGAAAGGTTACATGAAATATTTGAAAAAGGGTCAAAGGATTTACGTTGGCCAAGAAAATAAAATGAGTAAAATTCAGACAGTAAGGTCAAGGGAATGAAATGAAACGACAATAAATGTGTATGGATCGATAAGGTTACTTCAAAATATGATGATCAACGATACAATTTTTTACCATAGTGGACATAAACTAATAATTTTTTTTGTTTGAACACAAGTTTGGTTTTAATCGTTTAGTGGCTTGAGCGAAACGCAACAAATTCGAACTCACTTGTCTATCAATTGTTTTAAACGATTTCTGAACATGACATTCATGTTCATTATCAATAACGGAATAGCTATAGCTCTGTTGAAGACTTTTCCCCATCTGAATCGCAACTTCCTTCACCATACGGTCAAATAATCTTTCTATTCGTGTAATGTATATGCTGTGGCACGTACATATGGATTGGTGCATACAATTGGAAGTAACATGAAGAGGGGACCCGTCAACCTTTGATTCTCTCAGTGAGCAATTCGTTTGGTCAAGTGTGACTAACTTAGCAGCTGGATAGCTCATTTTTAAAGCAGCATTTATTCCGTAATTAATTCTCTCAGAAACGTCACCTTTGGAAGCAAGATTTTAGAAAACAGGCTTCTTCTTGACTGTATCACACTTTACCAACTAACACTGTAAGCTGTAAGTTGTATTTATTGGTGAATTTCTGTAGATATCTGTTGTCATAGAGGCAAATTTCAACAATAGTAATTTCCTCTTCCAGTTTAAGAAAAATTGATGTTAAAGTTGTTTTATGTCGTAAACAGCTGATGAGAAACCCTGAAATAAAATGGATCCACGCTCTTCTGCTAAAACGAATGTTTTTGCTCTGTTTAAACCTTTGGTCGTTTTGCTATTTCCTTCTGTATTTTAGGAGCCGAGCGACTCTTTAGAGTGAATTGTAAGGGTCCTTACATTTATCAGCTACCGACTTTATGTAGCACTCTTGGATGCATGTGAATAGCAATCCGTCAGACCATAGACAGAAGTAGCTAAGATATCGTTTCCCATGCCAGTTACTTCTTATTCTAGCGCAGCTGCGCACAGATGACTGTTATTGATTAGTTTTTATTTATTTAAGGCTACAAATTACTGTATGAAGGTCAGATTACACTCCAAGTCTTCGCGTTAAAGTACTAGTAGACATACCAAAAGACGAAGCAAAAGTTATATAATTAAAGGTTACAGAAAATCATGAAACAAAACAAATAGGAGGTAAAGCAAATTGCGGAGTGTGTCAATGTATCCGCGGCACTGAGGTCGATTCTAGGCTGTATCACCGGTGGTTCCACAGCCCTCAACCAGAAAGTCCACACTATCCTTGGCTACGTTGACTAGCAGTCAGAGACTTTGAGGACTAATGCACGTTTTAATTTATCCATCCGTAGCTTTTGGGGGATATAACTATGCTTCAGCTGAAATCACATGTTAAGGTAAACAGTATTTAGGGCTGTACAGCATGTTTCCCGATCATCTCAGTCGATTACAATTTATTGCCTCATCAAATGTTTTATCTCTTTTTTCCTGAGACTATGCGTCTAACCTATAAGTTGCTCAAGTTACAGTTCTGCAACACACGGTCGATGCTGCATAGAATACATTGGTCGAATTATTATTATTATTAGTCCCTTGGGTTCCTAGTGGAACATAGGGCTTCAGTAGCACGCCTCCAGTGACCTCTGTTCTCTGAGATCTTTTGAACCTGGTCCCACGACAGCCCAGAAGCTCTCATTTCCTGCTCGCACGACCTCTTCCATGTCACCCTCGGACGTCCAACTCGTCGCTTCCCATGGGGATTCCACTCGAGCATCTGGTCTGACGCGTGATGTCCTCCGTCGGCCTTCTCAGTGCATGGCCAATCCATCTCCACTTCTTCCTGCATATTTGTTGCGTGATAGGTTCTTGGTTGGTTCGTTCCCAGAGTTCCTTGTTGCTTATTTTTTCTGACCATCTGATCTTCAGCAGCAAGCGTAAGCAGTTGTTGATGAATGTCTGTAGTTTATTGGAAATACCTTTCGTGACGCGCCAAGTCTCTGAGCCATACAAGAGCACTGACTTGACGTTGGTGTTGAAAATCCGTATCTTGTTCCGCATGCTGAGTGCAGAAGATCTCCACACTGGTTTCAGGCTAATGAACGCTTGTCTTGCTTTTCCGATTCTGACTTTGACGTCCTCGTCCGTCCCGCCTGTAGTTGAAACAGTGCTTCCTAGATAAGTGAAGGAGGTTACTTCCTTCAAGTTTCTCCCGTTGACAGTGATTGGAGTTTGTTGTTGTTGTTGATGGTGGTGGTGCGGTATCTTCATCACTTCTGTCTTCTCTATATTCACCTGAAGTCCCGTCTTCGCTGCCTCTTCTATCAACTTGTTAGTTTTTGCCTGCAGATCTTCAAGTTTGTGTGACATTAGGCATAAGTCATCGGCGAAATCCAAGTCTTCTAGGTTCTTTTCCGTCGTCCAGTGTATCCCCCTCTTCTCGCTGCCTACTGTTTGCTGCATGATCCAGTCCACCACAATTAGGAATATCATGGGGGATAGTAGGCAACCTTGTTTCACTCCTGTCTTCACTTCAAAGGCATCACTGAGCTTCCCATTGTGGATTACTTGGCATGTGGCACCTTCATATAGTTGTTGAATGAGGCGGATAAAGGTTTGCGGTATTCCGTAGTATTGAAGCAGTTTCCAAATTACTTCTCGGTCGACGCTGTCAAAGGCCTTCTCAAAGTCGATGAAGTTGAGGTAGAGAGCTGATTGCCATTCTATGCTCTGTTCTATGATGATGCGAAGCGTTGCAATTTGGTCTGCACATGATTTGTACTTCCTGAATCCAGCGCCAGCCTGTTCCGGTCGTAGTTTTGAATCCAGTGCATCCCTTAGCCTCTCCAGGATGATGCGGCTTAATATTTTGCTTGGGGTGGACAGGAGAGTGATTCCTCGCCAGTTCTTGCAAGCACTCAGGTCTCCCTTCTTCGGCAGTTTGACAAGGTAACCCTTCTTCCAATCGTCAGGTACCTTCTCTTCCTTCCACACCTTCTGCAATAGTGGTGTGAGCATGTCGGCTGTTGTCTCTACGTCTGTTTTCAGTGCTACTGGTGGGATTCCATCTGGTCCTGCTGCTTTCCCACATTTCAGTAGCTTTATGGCGTTCAGGACTTCCATTTTCTTTGGGGGATTAATGTTCACTTGTAGTTCAGCGGCTGCAGGTGGTATTTCTGGACGAAGTGCAGGTGGTGGTCGATTCAAGAGCTTCTTGAAGTGGTCGGCCCATCGTTTCCTCTGTTTCTCTTCTTTTGTAATTAAATTTCCTTCTTCATCTTTTATTGGTTTCATCTGTGTTGGTCTCTTCCCTGATAGCAACCTGGTTATTTGATACAATGTCGTCAGGTCTCTCTTACCTGCAGCCTGTTCTGCTTCACTTGCAAGTGTGTCGTAGAAGTGTCTTTTGTCTTTCCGTGCACTCTTCTTCACTTCTTTGTCCACTGTTTTATACATTGTGCTCAGTTCCTCCTCTTGTTGTGCATCCTTGCACTGGTTTATCTTCTGCTTCACCATCCTCCTCTCCTCTATCAGCTTCCATGTGTCCATCGAGATCCATTCCTTATCTTCTTTCTTCTTCCTTCCTAATACGGTTGTGCAGGTTTCTTTCCACATAGCTTTCAAAGACTTCCAGTGTTCTTCCACACAGGTTTCTTCAGGGATGTTGCTCGATGTCTCCCATTTTGTCTTGATGGCTGCCTTGAAGATCTCCTTTGTAGTTTCATCCTTCAGTTTCCGAGTGTTGTACTTGAGTTGAGGTCTATCACCAGCTTCCTTGAAGGCTTTTAACTTGATTTGGAAGGTTCCTTGCACTAGGTAGTGGTCTGAACCTACATCTGCTCCTCTTCTTGACCTTGTGTTAAGTAGACTGCGTCTCCATTTTCTTGAGATTGAGATAAAGTCGATTTGATTTTTAGTGTGTCCATCTGGTGAAATCCATGTCGCTTTGTGGATATCTTTGTGCCTTCTTCTCGGTCGACGCTGTCAAAGGCCTTCTCAAAGTCGATGAAGTTGAGGTAGAGAGCTGATTGCCATTCTATGCTCTGTTCTATGATGATGCGAAGCGTTGCAATTTGGTCTGCACATGATTTGTACTTCCTGAATCCAGCCAGCCAGCCAGCCTGTTCCGGTCGTAGTTTTGAATCCAGTGCATCCCTTAGCCTCTCCAGGATGATGCGGCTTAATATTTTGCTTGCTCTGGGTGGACAGGAGAGTGATTCCTCGCCAGTTCTTGCAAACACTGAGGTCTCCTTTCGTCGGCAATTCGACAAGGTAACCCTTCTTCCAATCAATGGCCAAGTACCTTCTATTCCTTCCACACCTTCTGCAATAGTGGTGTGAGCATGTCGGCTGTTGTCTCTACGTCTGTTCTCAGTGCTTCTGGCGGTATTCCATCTGGTCCTGCTGCTTTCCCACATTTCAGTAGCTTTATGGCGTTCAGGACTTCCATTTTCGTTGGGGGATTTATGTTCACTTGTAATTCAGCGGCTGCAGGTGGTATTTCTGGACGAAGTGCAGGTGGTGGTCGATTCAAGAGCTTCTTGAAGTGGTCGGCCCATCGTTTCCTCTGTTTCCCTTCTTTCCTAATTAAATTTCCGTCATCATCTTTTATTGGATTCGTCTGCGTTGATCTCTTCCCAGATAACCTGGCAACCTGGTTATTTGATGCAGTGTTGTCAGGTCTCTATCTCTCCTACCTGTAGCCTGTTCTGCCTCACTTGCTAGTGTTTCGTAGAAGTGTCTTTTGTCTTTCCATGCACTCTTCTTCACTTCTTTGTCCAGTGTTTTATACATTGTGCTCAGTTCCTCCTCTTGTTGTGCATCCTTGCACTGGTTTATCTTCTGCTTCACCATCCTCCTCTCCTCTATCAGCTTCCAGGTATCCGTCGAGATCCATTCCTTGTCTTCTTTCTTCTTCCTTCCTAATACTGTTGTGCAGGTTTCTTTCCACATAGCTTTCAAAGACTTCCAGTGTTCTTCCACACAGGTTTCTTCAGGGATGTTGCTCGATGTCTCCCATTTTGTCTTGATGGCTGCCTTGAAGATCTCCTTTGTAGTTTCATCCTTCAGTTTCCGAGTGTTGTACTTGAGTTGAGGTCTATCACCAGCTTCCTTGAAGGCTTTTAACTTGATTTGGAAGGTTCCTTGCACTAGGTAGTGGTCTGAACCTACATCTGCTCCTCTTCTTGACCTTGTGTTAAGTAGACTGCGTCTCCATTTTCTTGAGATTGAGATAAAGTCGATTTGATTTTTAGTGTGTCCATCTGGTGAAATCCATGTCGCTTTGTGGATATCTTTGTGCCTGAACACACTGCCTCCAATCACCAGATCGTTGAATGCGCAGAATTCTGCAAACAATTCTCCATTCTCATTCATTTCACCTAGTGCCTCTCGACCCATGGTTAGTTCTCTTCCCGTGTTGTCCCCTCCCAGTTTGGCATTCATGTCGCCCATCAGAATTTTGATATCGCCAACTGACGTCTTGTCCAGTGTTGATTGAAGTTGTCTGTAGAAATCCTCCTTTTTCTCTTGCTCTGCATTATTTGTAGGTGCATAACATTGTATGATTGTGACCTTTCTTCCTTTTGAGTTGAATCTTGCTGTCATGATCCTGATGCTGGAGGAGATTGGTTCCCACTGCATGAGAGCCTTCGATGCTCTTGAGGACATCATGATAGCCACTCCCTCAGTGTGCTCGTGGTTGGCGTCTGGGTGACCGGAGTAGATTATTGATTCTCCAGTTGACAGTTTGGAGAGTCCACTCCCATTCCATCTGCTTTCACAAATCCCAAGCACTTCGATGTTATACCTTCTCATCTCCCTTGCAATCTGGGCTGCCTTACTGGGTTCAAACATCGTGCGGACATTCCATGTCCCCACGTTTACTTTCGCTTTCATCGAGAGAAGACACATCGGCCAATTGGCTTCCCGAAGGCTTTCACCAACTGGCGTCATTTCGCCTCTCCGATTCCAGCGGGGAATAAGTTTGTTTTCATTTTTTATATTTTGTTTGTGCTTTGAAGTTTCTTTAGCGGTTAGATTTGTTTTACGGGGTAGGGTTGCTAGCCCTATGCCCAACCTTCCCTCTTTACCCGGGCTTAGGACCGGCTAGTAACTAGTAAACTAGTTAACCAGGCGAGGTCGAATACCTGGGGCTTTTTTACATCTTCCAACCTTCATAGTTATGTTGGCAAAATCTAATCGAGCCTTCTGTTTCTTCACCTAGATTTTAAGACCCACAGACCAGCTCAGTCCCAGTGTTCCATTCCTACTAGGACTGTATAGAGGAAGCCAATGAAAAGTAGTTGCAGGTCAGCTGAGTTGTTCCTCGAAGTGTCCCATGTATCTTTTCTCTCTACAGCTTTACTAACCGCTAACTTTTCCTCCCCCATTATTAGCAGCCTACTTGAACCTTGGGCTACTAAACAATTTCCACTGATTATATTGCATCAGATTGTTCCCCTTCAATTCTTTCTATTCTTTTAAATGTATTCAGAACGCACCATATATTCTGGCAAGTTTTTAAGATGTTTTCAGCCAGCCGTTCTTCAAGTTAACAACGGAAAGAAGGAAAAAACACCATAGTATATTAAAATGGACTTCTGAGTACACGAAAGTGCATTGTATTACTACCGCTAGAATATTTAACTCGAACCGAAGGTTCTTCTACTAAGTGAATAACCCACCACCAAACTCACACCTGCGTTTCTACTCATTCCCTATTCTAAATTAGACGCTAATCTAACAACAACTGACTGTTTCACATTATTGCATTTGATAATGTTCTTACTAATATTATTCAGATGTAATAATTATTTTGTTAAAAAAAATTGCATTTGGGGTAAGTTTTTTGAAATATTGCTTGTAGAGAATTCCATTCTATATGCAAAGTTGTGTTGTTATTAGTATCCCAGTTTTTTCTGAAAGGTTTAAATGGATATCTGTAATTGCCCAACATTGTCTCCTTAATTTCTTTAGTCTTCGCTACGCGTCACTTCTCTCAATCGTGGTTCAGACACTCGTCATTCCACATTTAATCTTTTTCTGCTCGTCACTGTTCATGGGGCTTGTAAGAATGATTTCATTTGTATCTATTAATTTGGTCCTTTCTAACTGTTCTGTGTATCGGAACATTTACGGGACATTATTGGAAAATGAAGTAGTAACGTTAGCTACATTACTTGTAACATTGTAGTCAATTGCAAAATCCTATGACTATTTGGTAAAATAATTTTGATGAGTTTATTTATATACGCCTGTATAAGCGTGAAAGCTATATTCACGCTTTAAATTCAGTTAACCTTTAGTTAACATTTGTTTATTTGCCTTCGCCTAATGCAGTCTTATGACATCTCACCAAAACACAAAGTGACTCAAATTGTGTTACTTCTGTGCATTGTATATAAGTGTGAAATTATTACTATTATTACTATTCATAATTTCAATTTTACCAAACACAGTTGCACTCATACTGTACGATAAACTATGGAGGTCCTTGTTGTCGAGGTTTAATTTTATCTGACGTAATATGAATGTCTGTTTCGTTCACTTTGTGTTTATACAATCCTATTGATAGTTACCATGAAAATACACTGGTAATTTCTAAGTTTTTGAATAAAACTACAACACCCATCAAATTCAGTAACGTAGCCACCGTTATAATAATGTACCGGTCTGAGTTGCTTCCTTTTTCAACATCAAAAGCAAAAACGGGACCAGAATGTATAACTGTAACAAAGAGGGATAATGCATGAAGGAAAATAAACAATTTAAGCTAAGAAATATTTCTTCTTAGTAAGCTCTTGATCGATGGCTCTTCACTAATATTATCGCGTTTTCAAAATATAAAACAACTTATTAGTCTAGTGGGGATAACTAGTAACAACAGGTTATCAGTATATAAATACCAAGGATCAACAGTAATTACAGCAGTAGCTAAGGGATAAGTTAGTTACACAGGAAAATAGTTTGTTACATAATTAATAGTTCTTTTAATAGAGTCTAACAAGAAGAGAAAATGAATGGTTATTTCAAGTGGTCAATTATGGACAATATTTGCACGCACAAAACTCGACAACAAATGGGTAGAACAAGACGTCTAAAACTTTAAGGAAAATAATAATGCTAATAATAGTTCGTAGAGTGAATGAAGGGCAGGGTCATGTTTGCGTAGATAATTTATGCAGACAGCTAAAGTAAAGAAAGAGTCCCTACGAATTTCTTCTGAACGTAGACTCGGCTTGTTCAGGTGTATTCCAATGTCTTCTACCGTACGTAAAAGACGAAAACGTAAAAGTATGGGTGAGATCAGAAGGGATACGATAAATAACTTTAAAAGCTTTATTTGTATAAACTTGGTGACCAATATCAATCAGGTAGCAGAATATTGAGCGTCGTATCGATCTTGTTCGCTCTTCGCTTAACCATGACCATGTAGCTGCGACTGACTAGCCGGGCAAGCTCAGTATGTTGATCGATAGCAACAAAACAAACGATGACTGTCTTTGCACTATTGTGATTTAACTTCAGCTGCATCACTTGATCTCCGATCTATGATTTTGCTTTACAGACATTAGTCACAGGTTATCTATCAGTTAGTGATTTCATGAATTGGCCCAGTGTCTTATTCAGACAATTTCTGGGTGCTATCCACTATGGTGATTACATCTTAACCATATTGGTAGACATCATCAACTTACAAGCTATTTTAATAAATGTCGTCGTGCTACTAAATACTGGTATTAATTAGTAGTAATAGTTGTAGTAATGATAAAAGACAAATTTATTTGTTGGTGAAGCAATAAGTGTAGATTGTACTAGCACACAGCACGGAAAATACAAATTGTTCATCTCTTCATTCTTCAATGTTAAACATTTAGTATATTCTTTTATTTAGTTCATATCATTCAAGTCGTGTTCACTTAGGTATGTATTATCAAGTGGTTTGAAATGATGACCTGGATATTCGTAATAATAGTGATGATCTTACTTCCCTCTATAAATATATTGACTAAAAGCACATAATTGGATTTTTCTGTCTTTAATATGTCATTTCTAAACAAATACTCAATAATATGGATAGGAGCGAATTCAAAACGGCAGGTGAACGGTAATAGGTTGTCCATTCAACTATCAAAAGAAGTACAGTGTAAACAGTTCTTAACTGACTCATGTATAAGAGTAAAACTTAGGCACGGTGATTGGATGTGATTCTATGTGTGACTTAAACATGGTGAGAGCAACAAGTGTAGCAAGATAATACGAGCTCATTTTTATTATTTCGAGGATACTAAATCTTCCCAATGCTGTTCATCGTAATATAAAACTTACAATGGAGTATGAGCATGACATTAAGTTTCATTTTCTAAATCTTGGCATTCAAGGTGACACAGATGGAAAAATTCCCAGGTATATTCATAGCTAGCAAACTTGGAGGAGACCTTATTTGAACTTCAAAAGCTTCGGTCCTATGAACTATGAAAAAGGGTTGGTTAGAATGCTGCTCAACC